CCTGCCTTGAGTGTGACGGAGGCGGTGCCCCAACTCCCCAATTGGCCCTGCTCTGAGCCCGACCAGGGATTGGGCCTGCCCTCTGTCACCCGGGAGCAGGCCTAAGCCAGCAGGTCGATATCTCCCGAGGAGTCCCAGACTGCGAGAGGGCACAGGCCGGGCTGAGGGATCCCCCCCTCCCCAGTGCACAAATTTTTGTGCACCGGGCCTCTAGTACCATAATAAGTAATCTTATTATTTGATCTATATCTTTTCTATGAATGGAGGGCTTGAACTAAGTTTAGTAATAGGTCATTTTAGAGGTTTAGCTTGAAGTATAGGGCATATGTGGAATAAAAATAATAAGTGATTAATAATTTATAAAATAGGTAAGAATGGATTATTAGGCGTTTGAATATGGAAGATAAGCTTGAAATAAATTTATTTTGAGTTAAATATCGAAGCCATGATTCACAGTGCAACAAATTTTAGATCTGTTTAATATTTTAATATTACAGTTTTGATGGTGCTCTTCAGTCTGTGAAATCTTGTGTGGGTGGAAATGATGAACTCTCAGCTGTTTTCTTAGAAATAAAAGGACATTTCTACATGCATGCTGGTTCTCTGCTTTTGAAGATGGGTCAGCATAGTGATGTGCAGTGGAGAGCTCTCTCTGAGCTGGCTGCATTGTGCTATCTCATAGCATTTCAGGTAAGTCTTATTCAGTTTTGGGTGCAGTTTCACTGAGACTGTCAAAGTGTTAACCATTATTTTTAGGTGATGAGATGCTGGCTCTTATCCTTTCCCCAAATTTTTTTAGTTTTAGTGTTTTTTTTTTTTAATGAGTTTGCATTAATTCTGAAATGAAAAGAAATAAGCAGTATGCAAAAAAAAATGCATTGAGCTCAGTTTATAAAAATTGTTAGCTTTAGAGAGTGACCTTTGCTTGAGGGAAAGCAGAGGGTTCACTGTTAGAGCAGGCCCCTCCTTGTAGTTCATATCATGTAGATCTTTGACCACTCTATATTTGTCCCACTGTGTTAAGTGCT